TATGAAGGCACATTATAAACTACAGACATTAACTTTTCACATATATATATTATAAACCATGTATGACTATTACTTTTATTACTTTAGATTTCCATCATAAACTCATCTGTGCTATATTTTTACAATCTTCATAATCCCTTAATGCTATTGCACAGACACATGCAAAAAACTATAAATATGCTTTAAACTTGTCAAATTGTAACTGTTTAATACTAGAATTTGTGATTCAAATGTAGTTACAGTAGAATTGATAACCTTTTGCAAAATACCTTCCTCTTAATTATCATAAAAATACCTTTTATCTTGGCTCAAAATAATCTTTTTCTTATAACTTCCTCTTAAACCAGCCCTAGCAGAAGATGAGGAAGCAGTTTATGTCAGAGTCCAACCATGCCTGGCTGTGCTAGCCTAGAGACTAAGACAGCACTGATAAACCCTGCACATAATGCTCTTCTTGATGGAGATGTGTGTTCAGTCGTTTATTTCCCAATAAAATAGGTTTTATTGTATCTACAGTGAACTTGTAAACTGGTTCCTGTTACATTTTAAGCCAAGTTATAATTTAATTTAGAAAGGATAATTCAGTGTTACGAATTTCACAGGAGGTCTGATCTTCATATGTACAGTGTTTTAGAAAAAATATATCTGATTATTCCCAGTATGTGTATGAGTTGGTGATGTGTTTGTGAATTCTCTGAAATTGTTCTTTCAATATTATATTCATGTGTGTTTCAGGAAGACTTCTTAGATCTAACAGTAGCAGTCAAAAATGTATCAGGTTTGGAAGATGCCCTCTGGAACATGTATGTAGAAGAGGAAGTTTTTGACTGTGACAACTTATACCACTGTGGGACTTGTGACAGGCTGGTTAAAGCAGCAAAGGTAAACATGGATCCTCTGCCTTTTCTGAGGGTTTCCACTTAGTACTTGGTAGCAGGAATGTTTGTCAAGTCAACTTGTATGAAAAAGTCTTGAAGATACACGTGACGCTCTTAATTAGTACTAAGGATTGGAAAGACATTTATGTTATATATAATCTGTATTTTTAATTTTTTATAATAAAGACTTTTTTTGAGCTTTCAACCCAACAGTTCTCTCAACCTCTTTCTCTCTCAAGAAAAATTTGTTTGTACCTCAACAATTTCAGTGTTTCTTAAATAAACTTTCTTTGCAAGTTACCATTATGAACAAGGCAAATGTTTTTATTTCTGCCAACCAGGAACTTGCTGAGCTTTCCTTTTTTTCGTCTACCACGCTGAAAACAGATGGCTTTCTTTGTTTTCTGCATATGCAGTTGTTTTACAATAGTGAGATAGATAGATAGATAGGTAGATAGATAGATAGATCGATCCTCCTATATAGACTCTAACAAATCCAATATGTCCTTCCCTCCTCCCCGAGTTGGAAATACTTGACTCGCTAATTAAAGGGCTTGGCAGAGTACTTCTGGATTTCTCTTTGTACAAAAAAGAAAAATGTAGGATAAAAAAGACAAGACTTAAGCAACTGGTTTCTTTCGCACTGTGGCATCAGCTCAGCTGCTG